CGAACATCACAAAATAAACCGTACTTTTAGCAAATTCAATCTCATCTTTACGTAGAAGGGATAGGACTATAGCCAAAATGTGGAGAATCGCAGGCCAAGCTATGCATCACACAAAATCTCAATTAATTAAATAAGAGTGGAAAGATCTAATCATATCTTACCGGCGACGTACTCAGATAGATATATGTTGACTATAATTTAGGGCGAAAACGCTAAATTCTACCGTACTGCAGTTTTGTCCCAAAGAAAGGTGAACATTGCATATGTTGGTGTCTATCCCCCGGCCGGATTGTGATGCTTGAGTTTATAGCAGCTCCCTAAAATCCTTCCTCCTGTCCTTGTCACAAGTAGGGGGTTGCTCGGCAGGGTAAAATACAACGGGATTGTTCCCATTTAGCCGCTACAATAGCCACCATAAGAGTCTGTCGTAAACCCTGAAAAGATCAGCCAACGAGTCTCTGGCAGATCGCTATAAAATTGTGATTGCTCATCGCAACCACCCAGCTGATCGCAAATCAGCTCTCCTCTATGGAAATCGAATGAGGCCTCAGGTTCGCAAGCAAGCACCTGATTACATTGGGGTAGCGTGGTTAATCTGTCGTTCTCTACGTCCTCCAAAAATCTGTTGTTCAAAAGGACGACCAACTAGAAAAATTAGAAATGCAAACGACTGCATCAAATGTTTGGCCCCTGGTTCTCCGGTACGGTGGTCCAAGGACGTTCTTTTGCCTTGGGCAGTGATCCTCCATCGACTGCGTGTATATGATAATAATGATGATCAGGATGAGTTTGCATAAGTTAATCGAGATCAATACAAGGATGGAAACAGTGCTCGTTTATATGATATTATCTAGAAGATTCATTGTTAGAGTTTTATCAATGCAATGATTTCTCAGCAGGTTTTTGTCACACGAGGATTGCAACGCATGCTCATCTCGAAACGCGCTTATTGCTATTCCACTGATCAAAGGCATATCAACTTATATAAGCTGTTAACCATCTCTTCACATCAGGTTTGTCCCTCCGTACCGTTCACCGACTGTCAGAGAACCATTTGAACCAATGAGTTTAATTTTCAAATTCCTCTCCATAGGAAGCTTCCATTGGTCGCAACAACGACTGGGATTTAGGTCGCAGATCAGGGTCAGCATTTGGCCCTCAAGCAAAGAAGCGAAAGCCAGTACCATCCGAGTTGAATCAACGGATCTTCTAGCCACCCGGAGAATCGTCAAATGGAATGTAGCCTTTGCAAAAGGACTGATGTGCATGAATTCCAGACAAGGGCTGAAGCGGTGGCCATTTGGGCCGCAGTGACAAGAAGGGGCTTCGAAATCCGGATGTGCAGAGTTTGAATCCAAAAAAGTTCATCACCTCTAATTCCCTTAAGCAATGAATTCACTCCATGTTGCTCATATGCAAATTCTTGAATTGTGGAAAGCAAGGACAACGTGATGTCCTGGTGTGGTCATAACAAAATGAGTGCGAGGTATATCAGGGTCTGATGCAGGTGCCTTTCAGGGCTACAATTCGCCATTATTCCAATGTGATCATCAGCATACGTGTGAAGCCATTGCGATCGTTTTTGGTGTTGTTGGAAAAGCATTCCATGCTAACAATAGTTGAGGCTTTGATGCCGTCAGAACAAAGGACTAGGTTTACTGGAATAAAATTCAGTCAACACGGTTTGCCCTTCATAAGAGATGTCGAGATATGCCATATGTGAATAGTTGCTGGTGGTTAGCCGTTTCCCCTCCTCGAGCAATTCACGGTGGATACCGAATCGCGCGATAGCTTTTTTCCTTGTCGTTCTCGCATGAGTTAGAATAGCAAATTGATTCATTTTGCTATGTGACTAATCTATCGCATTTCAACCTGTTCTGCGCTACGCTGATCTGAAGCTGACTGGTGCAAGTTGGCCCAAGAAGCTTTTTACAAGTAATAGATTGCAACCGTTTCTAGGCTGCTGTCATTGATCATAACGTAATATATCTTCTTAATCTGATTTGTCTTTATTGTGCATTCATCAAGAATGCAAACCGGCACTCTTCCAATCTTACATGTTCTCTGATCTCTCTGCCTTCACCTCTTGCAAAGTAACCTGACTATCAGAACCATGTATTGCTCAGTTAGAAGCGATGGCCAGGCCTACTTTCTTGGTTTTCATGCTTTTTCAGCGTTTTTAGCAACTGGTGGTTTGGCAGTCAAATTAGAGGGCAAATCCTCGTAAGCAACCACCAACGTCTCCTAAACCTTCACTCAACCTGACCAATTCAGACAAGTGGAGCACTTCGTGAAATTTTGGTCACGAAGGATATGGCAACGATCAAGGACGATCAGCTATTACTGTGCAGAAGCAGTTGGATGCACCCACACATTACCCGGAAGCGCTCAACTCCATGCGGCGGAGAATGAAGGTTCCGGCTGCGAGACCACCGAGTGCTGTATAGCCGCCATTTTGTACAGAAAATGCTTTAGCTGGTCAATGCGGATTGGTCCTCGAGGATAATCAAAGGTTCCGCCATTGTAAAAAGCGACCAATCAGCATTTTTAAACGGTAGAGACGATAATGGTAATGGAAGAGAAAATAAAGGGGTCGGATAAGATAACAGAGTCGAAGAAGAGGAGGAATTGTTTTGGTGGCAGTTGTTGCATGGGCATATAAATGCGCTGCTAAACGGTTTTTGCCCTGATTTCGTGTCTTCTTCCGTAGCAACCTCAAATCATTGCAATGTCATAGACAAGTGGTGAGCCGCACCACCTTCTCAAACTACCGGAGGGGCTCTTGCGCCTCTTTCAAGCCCCCCATTCAACGGGAGACATCGCGATGTCAGGGCAAATTAATTGCTTAAGAAAATTATCGCAATAAACACCGCTTTATTGTTCCCTCCAGGCCGTTGGCTGATCCACAGTATGAACAGTAATCAAGGTAGTGAAAACGGATACCAAAACTAGCTAAATCTCATAACATGGAATGGAGGGTCGGTTCTTACAGTTGTGAAATACTCGAAAGGCACCAGGTGTTTAAGTTCTGCGTTACGGAAAGATCGATGTAAGGCAACTGCCGTAACTAAGAGTGACGAACTAAAACTTCAGCACTCGATTTTCGTGCTGGTACTTCCGTTCGTTATATGATTCTCTTGGGAACAGTGTCTTCGAATTCACAAAATTTTACTTAAGTTGCATGTAAATTAGTGCTCCTTTCAAATCAATAAGATTTATAATTCTCGGTTTCTCTTTTGATAAATATAAAGCCTGTGTAATCGTTTGGAGGTGG